CAAAGAAATTCAGCTGTCAATAGATATGGACGAAAATAGATATGGAATAAATACAAAAAATGTACGCGCAACGAATACTTCAACCATAAGGCTTATGATACACTGTATTTAATTATTTATTTTCGCAGGATCCTGCACATCAGCAGGAATCGCGATAGAACTTAGCAAGGTTGATTCAGCACATGTCATGTCCAAAATAAAATGGGGAAAAAGCACAATATTTTCAGGCTCCATTTGTATAGGCCTAGCGGAGGAAACTAGGGCAGCATAAGCAGACCTAGTGGGAAAAACCTTGTTATGCAGAAGGAGACTGAATAGCAAGAATATATACAGCCTCAGAATCAGGCCAAGTGGATGTAAATCCGAGCAGCGGAATTATACCAGGAAATAGAATTTAAATATAAAATAGAGCATAAGAACTAAAAAACTAAAAAAAACTAAAAAAACTAAGCCGTGAAAGTGAAATATCTATTGTAAAATAACGGCCGATTGGAAGAAAATCTGACCAGGAAATAGAGCCTAAATATTAAATTGAGCAGAAAAACAATTCGAGAACCGAAATGTATAATAAATTAGGACGAAAGGGATAAAAGTAGTGTAGTAGGATGATGAAAAAAGGGGGGAACTGGTACAGTTGCGGTCTGTCATGTATGAGGAATAAATAGGAGCGCCCATTTTCAGCTCAACATACTCCAAAGCACACCAATTCTGCACGTTAACCGATAGGTCGTACACCTGTCAGAAAAACGTATTCTTGCTGATGGTTTACGACAAGGTTCCTCCATTCTTCGCTCTCATCCGAAAATTTTCGTTGCCCGATATCTTCTTATCCGAATATTTTGTTATCCGATTATCCGAATATTTTCGTTGCCCGATATCTCTCAGTCTCTCATTTTATATCATAAATTTTCGTCTTATATCACCGAACCTTAATTGCCACCACAGCCTAACCATACCTCACGTCGCCTATCATTGGCTTTCCTTCTTCCATAAAATTAACTCAAATTCCATGAAATTATCTCCCTTCCTCTATTCTCATTTCCCTCTACGCCTTCTACCGACTTCTTCTCACATTGCCATCACTCACATTCCAGCAATCCGTCTCCCCTCGCTTACCCTCGACACACTTCATCTCCGTACCCCTCCCCTAACTCCGTCCTCGACTTCCCTCACTCTCGTCTGAACTTTAATAAGCTAATGACCCATTTTTTCTCTCGTCTCTTAAGGTGCCGTCAAATTTTGGAACGTCCAGGCAAGTTTACGACGAGAAGGACATGGAACGGCATACATGTTGCAGAGCTCAGTCGTATACTATTTTGTCAATAAAAATATAAAAATGAATCAAGAGCGTTAGAAAATCAGATTTGCTGAAAATCAGATCAAATTTGCTGAAAATCATGATGAAAAGTACAGCAGTATTTCTGCCTTGAAATAAAGACAGATGCTAAAAAATTACAGATTTTGTAATTTTCACGTGACTTCAAATTTTCAGTATAGCACCTATTTGTACAATGTTCAACATTTGCACAATATACTTGCAATATATCCTTTCAATATTTGCATAGTGGAAATATTGAACGGACGATCGATTCCCGAAATGATTGATTTCAGTGATACCACAGTTGCCACTTTCAAGTGAGCATAAGTCACTATTTGACCGCAAATATTTTGAAGAGTGAAAATTAGCAGTAAATAAGGAGATTTTGATATTTGTGCTCTAACTCAAGTAGTTCTCGTGCTTGTCCTAATTATTAAACTTCCTGCAGCACAAAGGTAATTACTTATTACATGAAATTTACTACTTCATATACATAATGAATATATTTATGGAAAAATATTATACATATTCTCATATATTTAATTTTTACATAAAGTTTTCTTCAATTATATATGTATTTCTAGAAATTTCACCTAATCCGGTAAAATCTAAGCAAGTAAATTCTCCAAATAAATGTAATAAAGCACAATTGCACTTATAATGGACCGTTAGGAACTTTTCTTTATTTCACCGGCAATTTCAACAATATACTTATTTTCAATTATACTAGACGTGTATATGGATTCTTGGAATGAGTTTCTTTACCAAGGAATTCAGCGTTGGAACATGGGAGCGCTCTGCGCTTTACTTTGGGCTTATACATAAAGTTCTGACCAAATACCACAATATTTTATATTACCACAGCTTTAAAAACGGCAATGTACAGCCATACTGGTTCTCTCGACTACCGTTCGACTTATGATCTTGGTATTGCAAGTCTACCCAACACTCATCATCAAAAGTACTGCAAAATTTCAGACTGCACCATTCGTTAGTTGCCAGTTTCCTTAGTATGTCCTAGGCCATGAAGTAGCGTCGCCTCTATCATGTCACTCGACATAAGTTCATGTCTAAAAGTTCATATAGTTCTGTGCTCTATAGCAGCTGCACTCTTGGAAAAGTTCACTCCATTTGCTCCCTATAACACACTCCCTCACAGCGACGAAGGATCTCCCCTCACCACTCCTAGGCCATCCTCTTCCCTGTTATTCATCCCACGGGAGTCTAACGCACTTCCTCCTGCTGTCGCTGGCGGAATTTTTGTGTAACATTTACAGCACTGATTGTAATTACAAGACACAACACACGTCTCTGCAAATATTTAATTATATTTTTGTGTAACATTTACAGCCCTGATTATAATTACAAAATAAAAACTCTGAAGACGCTTGCGGGAAACCTAACTTTCCCAATCTTCAAGACGATGATAGCTGGTAATTATTTTATTGGTTCTTCACAATTATATAACTCGTTTTTTAAACAGATCACCCATGGTATCCCTCATAATTCTCATTTGCCTTTGCAATAATTATAATCGGTCTCGTCATCAGACGTCGTATATCAAAATTATTAAACAGACGAGCACTTCTGCTTTCCAGTTGATGAAGCCTGTAGTAAATTCGACCATTAGGCGTTGATGATTGATTAGTGTCCCTCGGCTTATAATCGGATTTACAAAACAAGATATTCGTCGGGGACAATTCCGGCCACTGATACCGCAGGAATTTGGTATTGTGGTTTTAAATTTATACATTTCGGTTATAAAAATTGTAGTCGATTTATTCGGAACCCACCTACGCTTTCGAAAGATTTCCAGAAAACAATTTTTGATAATCAGTATTCGTATCACCATTCAACATATTTTTTTAAGAGCACATATTTTTAACCAAAAACTAAAAATAATATTATTGCTGGAAATATTCGTTTGACGACGTAAATTTAGTTTGCAAAACTTTTCATTTGAAGCCCATGTAGACGAGAACGCTAAACCATTATTCGAAGATAACTGAATTGGAGACGTCTATTACTTTAAAACCGCATAAATGACCTGCAAATTAATTGAACATGGATGTAAGCGATGCTCTTTCTAAGTATCGTTAGAATCATGAAATCAATGTTGAGTACAAGTTCGCGAACACTTGTGAGCTGTTCGAAGTACACTTAGAGAAATATGAAGAGTGATGTCCAAATGGCGATGCAATTTTTGACCATTTATGGTCACCCTTAACCAGTTTGCCCCGATAAAATGGTGAATCAGTGATACGTGTGTCACTAATTGGACAATATGATCCATTAAATTTTCTGAGTGTGCAGCACGTATGAAGGCCGGTAACCGCTGAGCCCGAGATCAGGATGCGGATCTGCCTTTATTGGAAGTCGCTCCGGCTGCCAATGCCAACGTTCCTAGGGGATCGTCTGCGATGCACAAACCACCACCCGGTTACGGAAACCTGTGTTGAACTCTTAAATTGTATTTAAAGTATCAATTTTAATAAATAGATCGTTTTGGTAAATCAATATTTCTTGTTCAGCTCATGTATTCAGTCGGTCTTGCAGCCTCTCAAGAAACAAGTCAGTGCGCTCTTCATCGCAGGTGCCATCGTAATTAAATATGACAGAATTCTCAAAAAGTAAATAGTTACAGCAAATTCTAAAACGCAAGTTAGTTAGGGGTTATTTGCTCAAATATGGTTTGAACGAGCCTTCCATTCATAATAAATACTTTGAAGTTAAATAATTCAAATAAATTATATTGAAAATGAAATAATTCGCTTTATTTCAGTTCAAAAATTTTTGAGCCAGTGAAAAAGATTTTACAAAGGGACTCCGAAATGTTTGGGATTCTATTATTTCTGGTTTGCCTGCTAGGCAGAAATGTATTTCGATAAGATTATTGACGTTTATTACTTTGTTCGACATTACCTGCCGTATCGGGATATCACTAAGATTTCAGATTTTATTTTAAACAGTTGTGATCACAGCTAACCGAAGAGTTAAGTTCGATAACCGTTAATCGGCTAACTGAAAAGTTAGCTTTTATAACGCCAAATCGATAAATCGACGAAAAATTTAGCTGAATTTACCGCTAACCGCTAATTTTTACTATATCAATTAAGCTTTGGCTTAATGTATTGGGGGCTCTAAAACTATGAAAAACAGAACTATAGGGCCGAACTTTTAATATGTTGTAGCATTGACAAGGAGCATTCCAAAAACGTGTAGCATGCAAAGATCAGATAATGATCAAGATGTACATAAATAATTAAATGAACAAATTAAATTAATCGTAGTTGGCATTCACAATTCAGTTAATTAAACGAATAAGAAAGTATTACGCGAATATGAAATATTGAGAAATAAAAACACACAGGTAAAAGCAGGGTTCCACGCTGCTTTTACTATGGCTTGCCCTCCATCTCCTCGAGGTGATGATTGTCGCCTTAATGAACATCAGCCTCTCATAGTTGGTTTCTAACAGAGTGGCACTCTTGGCCTTCGAGATGTCGTTGCTTATGGTAAACAGGCGCTCAACTGCAGCACTGGATGCGATGGCTGTGTTGTACACACCTGCTCACCCAACATGAGCAGGTGCTCACCCAAGAAGACAACGTCATTCAGGAACTCCGTCGAGCTGGCCCCCAACTAGGTCTTCACCAAATTCTGTGCCTTAGACATCAGTGACCTGTATCTCCTGCTGCACTCCTGGGGGCTGGTTGATCCTGCTGATGAAGTCATCTTTCCCATCCTCGTCATTGCTGGTTGACAACGTCAGTCAGGAACTGAAGACAACGTCATTCAGGAACTCCTTCGAGCTGGCCTCCAGCCAGGTCTTCACCAAGTTCTGTGCCTTGGACATCAGTGACCTGTCTCCTGCTGCACTCCTGAGGGCTAAGTGATCCTGCTGAAAAAGTCGTTTTTCACATCCTCGTCATTGCTGGTTGTACTGCTGCCCTCCAATTAATGGTGTCCCTCAGGGCTGTCTGCACGGCGGTCTCCATGGCCTTCTGTACCCTGCTGAGATGGCTGTGATTATGCTTCTCCAACAAGAACAGGCGAAACTTAAGGTGGAAGGTAGCTGCCAGCTGGCACTTCTTGTCTTCTAGGAGGGACCCAAACCTTTTCGTGATGCCTGCCAGCATTGCGTCTATCAGAGGACTGCGGTACAGGAGGCCGTTGGACTTGGCCCCCATCTACTTCATGATGGTAACTGCTACAGTTGACAGTAGGCTCCCGAGATAGGCCTGATAGGACAAAGCCCCGGATCTTAACCAAGGACTCGGCAACATCGGTCATCACTTGAGCGAACTCCTTCAGGAAGCCGACCTCAGAATCAGTGATGCTCTGCAGCTTCAGCTGTGTCATCACCCTGTGGAGAGCTCCCCATTTATTCTACAGGGTGCTAATAAATTATGTAGCAGAAACACAAGACGAGATTGGTAGACGTACATATGTTGAAGTAGTCAGCAATCAGTGTGGCACACGGCTAACGATACTTAGCATTAAATATTAACACCCGAATTTTCAATCAGAAGAGTATTTTAAACATTTATAGCGGACTGCAGTTAGCGGGAGCTAATTTGTCCGCTGATGGATTTCAAAGTTAGATGAAAAGCTAATCCGATAAGGAAAAAGTAAGCTTCGCAAATTATCGGTTAGCGGGTTAGCGGAACTGTGCTCACCGCTGATTTTCAATAGCAGGAGCACGATCGAAGTTAATCTCAACAAAAAATATAACTTTTTCTTTGTAGTTTCGACTTTGATGTTAATAGCCAATAACTTATGGGGCAAAATTGATGGTATTAAGTTAGACCCAATGTACTGGCCGAAACTTTAGTGGCTCAGCTTGCATCGGTGAGATATAACCCAAATATTTAGAGCCGTGAACTGTTGTGAACTAAAACATAGCTTCGGAAAGCCTCAAGAGTTTACTTGGAAAGA